TCAAATCTCAAGAAATTTTATGTTCGTTGAATCATGTAAGCGGTTGCTAACATATCCCAGAACTCTAATTTGTTTAATAAACTCTACATGAACAAGCTCTGTTAACATATATGCTTTTGAGTAGTATGCATGTTGTTTCTAAATTAATAACACTAGTCTGCTAGAAGTTAAGATCAGTCTGGCAAAGGGTGCCACTAATAGGTAGGCCTCCCCATAACTGCATATATCAAAACATTTTTTCACACATTTCTTTTAACTCTGTACTCTTCTTGTACTTGAAGATAATTAGGCAGTACCAGTAATACGTAAAATCTGAGGGATATCTATTAGCTGGATGTTACTTGATATCTGGACTTTTGTCATTGTTTATCTGTTTTATTCCATAATCAGAATTTCAAAGGACTAAATTCCTATTGATCCTTCACTGTTAACTTGTTTTTCTTAAAGGCTTGCCAACTGTTGAGAGCTCACCTAAAGAAATAGGTCAACTATTTGGGGTGGTTATTAGGTTTTCCCTCTATAAAGTGTCGCTATATGTAAATATGCATGATCTGTTCTCTCCATTATTGTTTATTTTGTTTCTCTTAGGATGTGGGGATGTTATTTACTTTTAATTGAGGGAATTGTCATCATATCATTATTTTACAACTTTGTTCTGTTCCAATTTGGTTTCGATTTGATGTTTTTACTTGTCTATATTTCTATGCCAGAGATGTCTGGGCCTTCCTCTTAAATTGCAAGGTGAAGTATTGCAGTCTTTATGATCAAGGGTAATACTCTATTGATTGCTGGACTTTATTGTTGGACTTAATGTATTTGCATGCTTTTAATATCTCTAACCTTTCCTGAGATCTGTAACCAAGAGATATTTGATGAAGATTTCATAAAGGAGCTACATTTAGTTTTATCAAGACTTTGTCGAATAGTATCACTGAAAATTTTGCAGGCTATTTAGTCTGTGTTGCTCCCTCTTTGATGCAGTATGCAATAACTGTTATATTGTAGTTCATGGCTTCCTGTTAAGTTCTAGTTTGTTTAAGTTCATTTGAGGAATTTGTGTGTGAGATTTTCTATATTTGTGCAGTTATACTTCAATTGGGAGCATTTATGATACAGTTCCCAATGCATTATTATCCATTAGCAACTCCTCAAACAAATATAAGCCTGCGTACTTGCTTGCTGATGGAAGATTAGAGAGGGCAGGGAGGGTTAGAAAGATATCTTCTACTAGTGGAAATTATCCTACTGACAGCAATGGCTTGATCAGCTTGGATTTGCACAAAAGCAGTATGCTCACAGCATCAGTTATTGCTGTGGGAGATGAGATTCTGTAAGTACTTGTTGATTACATGATTATATCAGAAACTGTATATTTAATGAACTCGTATACTTTATTTTATAATGTACCTCTGGGAGATTTCACTAATTTATTTTACTATCTATCATCTCATGAAGCCCACCTGATTCTTACGCTCCTTGTAATTTTTTTAATAAATTTTCTTTTTTCCCTGCTTCTTAGCTCAGGTTTGGCACTATCGAGGATCAGTTGGGACCCTCCCTGCTGAGGAAGTTGCATTCTATCGGTTGGTCTGTTTCAGAACTTTCTGTTGTTCACAACAATGTGAGTTCATATATGTATCCTCCCTGTGTGTACTTAACTGTTCTAATTTGCAGATATCTGCACTTGAATTTGTTGTTATGAACATGTTGAAACACACATTATATATGAACCCAGAAATAATCATTTCATCTCATCTGTTAATTTAATGCTCTGTGACATGCATCTTTTATACCAGATAGATTCTGTGGCTGAAGAAGTTGAGCGACGGAAATCTACTAATGATTTGGTAAATTAAAAAATTCTATGAAATTCTGCATATGGCTTTCCTGGTGAAATGATAGTTTAAGTTTAAACTGACCTGATTATTGTAGGTCTTTATATATGGAGGTGTAGGTCCACTGCATTCGGATGTCACATTAGCTGGAGTTGCAAAGGCCTTTAGTGTTCGTTTGGTGCGTTGTTTCATCTGATTGTTGCATTTTTCCATGAAGGCCACTGCATCATCGTCTGGATGTGTTGCCTGCTTCTGGTTAATAACAAGACTAACTTCATATCATTTGGTCATTTGATTGTGACGTAGGCTCCTGATGAAGAATTTGAAGAATATCTTGGGAATATTATTGGTTATCAATGTACCGGTGACCGAAATGAGGTAACTTGGTGTACGAGAAGTTACTTGTTAATCTTAACTTTTGTGTTTTAAATTTTAATATTTCAATGCATTTTTGAAAAGAGATCCTTTTGAAGTCATTCTTCTAAGAAACACTTGCATACCGGCATGCATCTCAGAAGGCGGACCCACTAATAGTTGCTTATGGGTGATTTATACAATAGTTTCTCCTTATGAATGCATGAATATCAAAATCTGAACTTTTGAGGCCCGACCTTTACCATCTCATGAAAGAGCTTGTCCCACTGGTCTCATCTGGTTACTACATTCTCTGTTTTGTATTTTTTAGGGTCAGTGAAAAGGATTAACCTCTGGCTTATCAGAAGAACTCTCTTCTCTATTCTCACATATGGCTCCAACTAGCATACTCAGATTTAGACCGACATTTCACATTACACTTCTTTGTGATGTTTGATCCATTAGTCTTGTACCTTTCAGATGGCTCAACTGCCTGAAGGCATCACAGAATTATTGCACCATGACAAGTTGCCTGTGCCCTTGGTACGTTCTGGAGAATTCATTTACCATAATTATGTTTCTTTACTTGTGACATTCGCCAGAAAGTTCAATTTCACATTGAGCAATGGCAGAAATTGGGTTAATTTACAATGATCAAGTGTCACATGTTACATGTTTGATTTCATATTATGTGATGGTGTACTTTTTGGTTTTAAATGTTTGATGTTGGATGTTTGTTTTTGTAGATCAAGTGTCAAAATGTGATAGTTCTTAATGCAACGAATGATTCGGAGCTGGAAAAGCAGTGGGATTGTTTGATTGAGTTGGCAAAATCTATTGACCTGTTACCATTGCTGGAACCATATGTATCAAAGCACGTTACAACAAATCTTTCGGATGTATGTGGTAACTTGATTTACTATGGCTGGACTTTCGGTCAACAGATATCCATTATAATGAAAGGAAACATGGAATATTCACATTTTAGAGTCACGTGTTATCTGTGTTGAAAAAATAAATTCTGATATCCGTTCAGAGGGAAGGGGATGTAGGGCCGGCATTTGATTTTTCACATGCGTGCAATAAAAATATATTTTCACGGCTCAAGATGATGCGTATAGCTGCTTTTAGTATCATACTATAGGAGCATAAGTTTGTAGATATGTAATTTATCCTGGCTAGCATGTGACTTCGACGTGCTATCTGTGCTTTGTGCATCTTCTCTCATTTTCTTCACATATGGCATCATCTTGTTTACAATTTTTCATCTGGGGAACTCCAAACTGCAGGTGGAAATTGCACAACCTCTATCGAAGCTTGGTCTTGAATTTCCAGATATTTTTATCGGTATGTATTTTGTGAACTACTTTCCTTTCCAGCTGTTTTTGGCATGATATTTATCCTTTTCTTTCCTCTGCAACATCAAGGCTGTTATCGCAAATCCAGAAATGGATCTCTGATAATAAGTTTCAAAGGAAAGGTACGATGTGACTCCCGTATTCTAACCTCTGCTTTACCAAGTCATATGTAAGTTCTTCCGGTAATACTAGTCAAATGATTTTATTACAGGACCAAGCACGCGTTGAGGCGGCTGTAAATGCATTATGCAAAAAGTTTCGTGCGGGTGCTTTCATGGAGACAGACTAGGTTGATATCCCACTGTCTTTGATGAACCAAATGATAATGATTTTGGGCGTTGGATCATTTCGTGATCATGTTGATCCAGATATAAATTATGCTTGCTTCGTTGAACGAAGGACTTGGAAGAAAATCAAGGCTGCTTGTCTTGGGAGAAGAGAAGGGAAAACCGGAACAAAAGATTACAGGAGCTTCAATTCTTTTTGCAACAGTGAATGTACTTCAGAGCATTATTTATTCCTCAGGGTACTCCAACCTAGTTAATGAATAAGATTAGCTAAATTAATAACTGCATTTACAGTTTCTTTTCCAGGAAAAAAATGAAAATCCAAGCTTTTAATTATTACGCCATTAGCTTTGGCTGCTGATTGGCATTTTATTTAATTTTTATTATAATCTACCTTATGTAACGCAGCAAGCTCGTTTAGTGTGAATGACATTCAACAACCTATGCTCTGCTTGAGATCTTCTGTTTAGCCTAATATCGGAAAACCGAAAACCTGCCTTCGGCGAAACTATGGAAGGTCACGGTAGACATTTGCTCTCTGAGTGGGCTGGCATTACTTATCTGAACTGAGCAGTGAGCAGTGGTAGAAATCTTCAAAAAACATTTTTTTTAATTATAATTTATGAAATACAACGTGAAAATACAAGTCTTGCATATATGTGTGTGTATGTATGTACTCTTCCGGTTTTTAATATGAGACCTATTTAACTGATTTGATTAGATTAAGAAAGTTAGATAAGTTAGTTAATTATAAGAAATATGACATGTTTTTTCTAAAATACCATAATTATCTTTTTTAATATCTTCTTTTTATGTCCTACTTGGTTATAATTGAGAGAATATCAATAGGAGTAATTTAGAAAAAATTAATAAATATGATAAATAAGTCTTATATTTAGGACTAAGATTAATTTAATAATTAGGTCTTATATTAAGGACATATATCTATATGTAAGTGTGTGTGTGGATGCAGCTCCCAAAAAAGTCATTTGAAAACCAGATGCATGAGAAGGATTTCTGCATTTTACTTGCTCAAACGGATACCCGGCCCATCATATGTATTAATAAATATTTTGAGTTATTTTTATGGGCCGATGGGAAAGTGGATCTCATGCGAGGGAAGGATTATTTACCCGAGCCTATTGCGGCGTGGCAAAACGAAAGCTGATGATATCATGAATAGTGCATCCTTCAGTGAGGATCTAAGCAAATAAGCAATTAGTGAAACGGTGAGATTTTGCTTGAAGCTGGTACCCATTTCTTCCTTTCCTCTCGTTGTCTCGTGCGCCTCCCCGCTGCTGGTGCCCATTCTCAGAAGCCATTTTTGGCTTGGCACGAATCCAATCGTTGCCGGCAGTGGCTTTGGACTTTTCCGGCAACGTGGTGCTCCTGGCTTCTTGCTTCTCTCTTCGTGCTTCATTTTGTCGGCCCCTGTGCGTTCTCATCGTCTCGATCCTAATCTCGTGGCGGAAAGGGAGAAATCTTTCTCCAACCTTATCTTTCTCCTTATAGCTGCCTAAATCACTCTCTGTGTCGTCCAAACAATGGAAAAGGGAAGTGAAGACAGTAAGGAAGGTTTGACTGATAACGGTACTGCTTCGAATTGGGCCCTCGATCGCTGCGGCAACTTGCAAATCGCCTCCGCCGACCAACAGCTCCGTGACTTTCTTCTTCACATCAAATCCTCCAAAACTCCCGTAACCGTCGACTCCTTTTTCTTCCTTTCTCTCGTTTTATAGGAAAAGCCCTAGTTTTATGCGTGACATTGATTTCTCTGTTGCCAAATTCTGTGCAGGCTGTTATCAATTATGGTGCGTCTTGGTACGTCTCTGACAATTTCTTTATAAACGTGTTTGTTTCCTTAGCGTCTTCCCAGTTTGTGAATCTGTTTATTCTTCGTGCTTAAAAAATGAGCGTAAGGTGTTTGATGTTAGAACTCTTCAAACAACACAGTCTGCACCGCGGTGGTTTCATGGAATGTTGTCGGTCATGCTGAAAACAGGGTTACGTAATCTTTGGAAGTCACTATCGAGTCAGCTACAATTTCTTCGTGTTTTTCTTCGCATCATGGGATGCAGAAAACCACGATTACTGATACTCGTATTTATGCCCTTGTAGGTGTCGCGTGTGCAGTCAAATCCTCCCTGCTTTCTGTAAAATGAGCAAAAATTTCCCGAAGCTTTCTTTCTTATACGCAGATATTGATGAATGCCCAGAAACAACTCAAAACATTCGATACACCCCGACCTTCCAATTCTTCCGAGATGGTGAAAAGGTCGACGAGATGTATGGTGCTGGGGAAGAGAGGTTGCATGATCGCCTATGGTTGCACTCCTAGAAATGAAGAACGTCGTTTTACAACATCTTTGCCTCTATTATTTAAACCGTGACTGGAAGAAGAAGCTATTTCTGGAGATTATTGTCACAAATCTTTCATCTTCTGTCAATATATGTAGCATTTGTTCGCAATTTCTTTCATTCTGCGTCATGTTAGTGGTGAATTGGAAAGTCATAAATGACATTACTAGAATTACTCAAAAGTTTGCGCAACAATCAATGGCTTAAATAAGAGAAATAATCTTTAGCCAGCAAAAAAAGAGAGAGAAATAATCAGTACATTAAAAAAAACAAAAACTTTAAAGGGGTCAAAAACAGAAACCAACTAATTCTACAAGCTCCTATTGTGCGAAAGCCAGGTATTCGTCTCTGCTTCAATTTCTCATGAAAGCTGGGTAATCTATCTCCATGAGTGGATGCACGCAATGAAGCTCCTTTATTTCTTTTCCCCCAAAATCCAAAACCAAAAGATGGCTACAACCATGACCACCTGTAGAAATGCCATGGCTACTTTAAGCCTTGGGCTTAAGCAGCTTCACGGTCTCCCAAGTAAAATCAGGGTCATCTCGTCCAAAATGACCATAAGCAGCAGTTTTCTGGAACCGAAATTTTCCTCCTCTTTTGAGGTCAAGATTGATGGAAATCATTCCTGGCCTGAAGTCGAAATTCTCCTTAATCAGGGCAAGGATATCGCGGTCTGGAATCTTCCCAGTTTTGTAAGTGTCCACAAAAACAGACAGTGGTTCTGGCACTCCAATGGCATAAGAAACCTGCACTATGCAGCGCCGGGCAAGCCCTGAAGCCACCACACTCTTCGCCGCCTGCCTAACAATGTATGCACCACTCCGATCAACCTTGGTCGGATCCTTGCCGGAGAAGGCACCTCCACCATGAGCACCCCATCCACCATAAGTGTCAATGATAATCTTCCGGCCAGTAAGTCCTGCATCTCCGTGAGGGCCACCTATCACAAATCGACCAGAAGGATTGAGGTGGAAGATAGTCTTGTCATCGAGATATTCAGCCGGAATCACTGGTTTGATTACATGCTCTTTCAAATCTGCAGCAATCTTCTCATTCGAGACTGCTTCGTCATGTTGAGTTGAGATGAGCACCGTGTGCACACGGATAGGAACCATGGCTCCATTATCGTTCTTGTACTCAACAGTCACTTGGGTTTTACCATCGGGCCTCAACCATGGGCATGTTTTGTTCTTTCTGACCTCTGTGAGCTTAGCACCTAGTTTGGTTGCAAGAACATGAGTAAGGGGCATTAGCTCAGGTGTTTCATCAGTGGCGTAGCCAAACATGTGACCTTGGTCACCAGCTCCAATTTCCTCAGGTTTTTTGGTCAGATGACCATGAACTCCTTGAGCTATATCAGGGCTCTGCTGCTCGATGTTCACAAGAACTTTGCAGTTATCGGCGTCAAGGCCAACATCAGCAGATACAAACCCGATGCCTCTACAAGTGTCACGAACTATTTTCTCGTAGTCCACTTTAGCCTTGGTTGTAATCTCACCAAACACCATTACCATGTTAGTTTTTGTACAGGTCTCGCACGCAACTTTGCTCTCTGGGTCTTGCTCCAGGCAAGCATCTAGGATAGCATCTGAAACCTGATCGCAGATTTTGTCAGGGTGGCCTTCGTTTACTGATTCGGAGGTGAAAAGGAAGGTATCCATCTTTGAGTGTTCTGCTCCAAAAGACAAAAAGAAAGGGGACAGAACTTGTGTTAGTTGCCTGTAAATCTATGAGGAAAAAATTTTGCTAATTTGCCTGTAAATACTTATAATTAATATAAAATAGAAATGGAACTTCAACAGTTTGTAATGATGAATTGTGGCTGTGCTACCCGTCACCACGGCTTCAAGGATCCATTCTCTAATGCTATTTTACTATCTAAAGACAACGTGAAATTGCGATATTCACAAACAACATAAGTAGATAATAATAGACAAGCTAGATCTATTTACTGCAAATCACTACTACCATAGGAAATCTAAGCGGCATGACGGACCTGTTAATAAAACAGATCTAAAATTGACAAAATGCAGAGCATGTTCAAATCGACATCGACAATCGTAACAAAGTCTCATGGAAAACTATCAAAATGCAGATAAAATAAGAACAGGAAGAAGAGAATATTTCAAAAGAATGCTAGACCTGGACGGTAATTGAATACAGAGACCTGGATTTTACAGACAAGAGATAACCGAGATCGAAATCCAAAATATTATGACATCAACGATGCATTAGCTCATTGCTTTTTGGTGATGATAGATTGAATTAAGAGGCTAGATTTGTGTTAAAGAGAGAAGGAGAGAGGGACGTACCGAGCGATTTTGATTGAGACAAAGGAGTGCGAAACGTGAGGAATTGGAACGAGAGGGAGGGGTGATAGTTTTGTGGGTAAATATATATACCTTAAGATTTGGAAGAGAGAGAAAATCGACGCATGACTCGCTCCCTCTCTGTTTTGTGGTTTGTGTTCTGCTGCATTTTTCTCAATTCCCAGTCACTTTCACATGATATCTCGTGTGGTCGATCCAACATGATGGCTACTAATTATAATTAAGTACATGCCCGTTTATATATCTTAAGAGCAGGACATTAATCCAAGCCCAATTAATGAAATTCTAATTAAATGAGATTTTGATGGCCAGATGGTATCTAAACTGCTCGTTGCATGGGTCAGTCCCTGATCTCTATCTTTCGCCCACTATTACTGTCCCAAATCATTGGCGTGCAAATGTGCGAGGCTAGCGGAACGCTAGCTCTGGAGATAATTGTAACTTTGGCAATATGGATACCGAAATTATAATTATTATACAGTAATGTTAATTGTCAAATGACCCTCAAGGCCAAAAAAAAAAAAAATCAAATGACCCGCTATTTTCTACATCATGCACGGTTGATAGTTAATAAACGCGACATGAAAAGGAACAGGGGGGCATAAAAAACACAGGCAAGTGACAAATTTGTGTACCATTTGTAACTATGATTATGATGGTGCCATAATTGTTATTATCTTTGGACTCTATTTGTGGCTACCTGACTATTAATAAATATTACCTCCGATCCTTAATATAATTACTATTTAACTAATATGAATAGATGAAAAAAATTAATTTAGTTATTTATAACAATTATAAATTGATTTTCCTAATATATCATTTTAGTCATGATTATTTTTGGATGAAAATTCTCTTAATATGTATAATTAATAGAAATATTTTAAAAAATGAATTATAAATTTGTAAAATAAAATAGATTGAGATCTTATATTTGAAATTAAATCTCATTCCCAACTGGCTCTCATATTTCGAAGTGGAGGACGTAATAATAAACTCTCTACTACAAAATTGAGCCGCAAGTCGGGAAACTGCAATCGGAATCTACTTCAACCACTGATATATTGTCTTCAGTGTGCTCGAATTTCAACCCTGAGATGGGAAACCGCTTGGAGTGTGATTACTTATCATCAAATGTAGATCAGTTACTTAGAGGTCTCATTTCAGATTCAAGTTAGGAACCATGTCCAGGAGAGAATGTACACCATCTTGTAAAATGAAAAATCGATCAAAATAGCAGTGCGGGATCAATCCGCGTTAAGGTTAGTAACTGAGGCCCAATTGAAGTCCCAGAGCAGCATGGATAAGAAAGAGCGTCATGATACCACTACCCAAGATACCGTGAACATTCCTAAGTCCAGGATTCCCCTGCATGTTAGATGCACATGTTAGTTGCGCCCACGTTCTCGTCGTATGAGATAATTTGGTTCTTGGAAATGGTAACAGGAATACCAGAATATAGCAATTACCTCAAATAGTGCGGGCAATATGGTTTGTATTGTCAACAGAGCAAGGCCAATGACGCCTGTAACAGCGTGGGGACTACATAGAGAAAAATTTAGACAAAAAACAAAAAGCCCATATAAGATGGCGTGATGAGCACCCACTTTCAAAGATAAACTTCATGCACCCACGTAGGTGATTTCAGAAGAAGAAGAAGAAGGGGAAAACTACTGAATTGACCATTTTGAACAATCAATAACATCTCCGACCAAGGAAAGAAAAAAAAAAAAAAAGAACAATCAAATATCAAGCCTGACGAGTCAGAGAAAAATATTTGCTGGTTACCTCTCAAAAATAGGTTTATCTGACGTTAGTAGAGATGTTATTCCACCAGTAGCTCCCAGCGCAAAGAAGAAAAACATACCGCCTAAAAGTTTCGGGTGCAGGTCCTTGGCGCTAGCCTTCTCCTCCTGAAATTATTCAAGAAAATAAAAACTAAGTAATTCGAGATAATTGAGATTATATGGAAACAATTACGGTAATCAGAACTCAGAAGTGGTGAAACTGGCGTGAGATATCTTACCACATCATCAGAGTAACGTATACGGAAACCCAGATAAGTTCCATAGCCACCCATGGCAAAGAGCACAACTGCCTGCAAGTGAATTAGCGTGGAAAAGCTTGTTGTGAAATTTGGGGTAACCGTAAAGATGTGTAGGTTTCTATAATAATCAAAGAGTTTGGCAGAAAAAAGTATACAGAAATACCATGTTGCCAGGGTGACCCCAATGCACAAGCCAATCTGGGAGATTCCATGATTTGACAAGCTCAACAAAAGGGCCAAATACAGATCGCACAGCCCCAGCTGTTATCAACATTGGACTTATCATACCAAAGTAATACTCACACTGTAATCTCATGTTCGGATTAACTTAAATTTTACGGAATAATAGACAATCAAAATACCTCCAGGCAGAAGCGCAGCTGCGTACAATAATGGCAGGGGAGAGAAAGAGTAGAGGAGAGTTTCGCTGTTCTCCCTCAACTCCACTTCTTCGTCGATTTGAGAAATAGGTTCAGGAAATTCCTCCTTTACCACAAAACACTTGCTGCTGCGAACAGAAGGTATCCTCCTTGTTGCTGACGCAGGAGCTAATGCCAGGGGACAGTTGGATTGAGATGGCACCTTGAGAAATGACGAAGACAACAGAGAGTGTGGGATTCTGGGATTAGCACAAGCAGCAGAAGCACTAACCATTGCCATGAGTGAACAAAGAATGCGGCAAAAAGATGATGGGTGTAGGTGGTTCCCGAGCTCAGCTCAAGACTGTCAAGTGACCCTGGCGAAAGAGGGTGAAAAGGCTCGCGATAAAGAAAGACGAGGGGGAACGGTGAGGAAAGAGACACGCCAACAAGCCAAATGTAACTTTCCAGCTTTCCACGTGGTTTCAACACGCCCTTCAGTCCTCAGCGCAAAACAATCTCAATGGGCCTTGGGCCTTGTCTCATTCACCTGACTTTTTTGATTTTGGACAATCTCTCTTAATGCCAGACAACAATTAAAATATAAAAAACTATATAAAAAAAATACTCTGAATTCTTTTATTTTTTTTAATTGTAGATAAGTCTGAATTATATTTATTATAATGATAATAACTTAATGACTCAATAATGAAACCTCCTAATATATTAACAGATCTAGATTAAACTTACTTATAATTAAAAAACAAAGAACTTCAAACTATTTTCGTGATTTTTAAACTTTTTTATATTATCAATTGTTATGTGGAATATGAAAGCAATTGTTCCAACCTTATTCCATGGGTTACGAACCAGAGTTTCCTTGGGAGGACCATGGAATTTTGGCGGGCGGCCATCCTAAAATACATTATCTCTTTTATTCTTGCAATTACCCTTCACCTACTATTTTTTCTTTTAAAAAATGTTTATTCGCAGAGAGGATACTGGGGCTCCATTCTTCACTTGTAGCCTGAATAATGTCCCCTTCCGTAATCGATTAAGGGTAAATTTCTTGCAAACTCGTTGATTTTTTCCTCAAGAGAATCGAATTTAGGCATGCATCAGAATGACGAGCAAGTATAATTTTTAATTTAGTGAGAAACCAAGGAAAATGTCACTCGAAATCATTCAAGAAACAATAATGATACTCCCCTCGCCCTAAATAAAAAGCCCATTACTTTTATTCTGATATATGGTGGTTGTCGCCAAAAAGAGAAGACTAATACCAAAAAAAGAATAAATAAATAGAGGGGGAGGGGACAAAGGGAACTACTATTTCCTTCCTATCTTCTAGCTACCTGTACAGTCTTACAAGATGTCATGATCTCCATATCTCATTAGCCTAAACTTGATATGCACACAAACAGGATAGTGCCAGAACGCATCCACAACTAGATTACGCGGACTCTCGCACGCTTCCATGCTCGGCTGCACCTACTAGCCCGTCCAACGTGACTCGTTCATCAAATGGCATTAAGCACGGCAATCACCATCACGCTCTATTCTAGCCTAAAACAATCCGCAACAAATATGTTAATGGGACCAAGTGTTTGCAACACGACCTGCGCGTAAATTGGATGATGGGGAAGTGAGTATATCAACCATTTCAAGTAACACCATATGAAGGATGGTATTATCTTGTGTACATAATTCTCTCAGTCCGGAAACATAGACTATACGTGACATCAATAGTTATCCCCAACTGAGCTAAGATACCATTCTGGCGCAAATTTTTTTTTTGGGGGGGGGGGAGGTTCAGATCAAGATCATTACTTCTAGCCTAAAACTGTAGATAATGCAAGAGAGAAAAAGTGTAGTTCATGTGAAAGAGAAAACAGCTTCAATATCAGTTCCGATAATTTACTACAGATTTGGGATCTTCGATTGTCATTTGAAACCCACGGCTTAGTTCCTAGATTTTGATGCGAATAAAGAATAACCAATATTTAGATTGCATTTGAGAGCAATGATGGAGAGGGGTGTTTGCCTCCCAATGAATTTCACCCTTCGTAAAAATTGCATGAATTCCTTTGTAGAAGGTGCTAAAGCAAATTTTGACGACCAGCCCCCACCCCCAAAGTTTCATTTATTTAAAGTTCCACTCCCTCCAAAAAAAAAAAAGGTCTCTGGATCCACTAATGTCTGTTTGAGAGGAGTCAAGATGGAATGATGACATTACCTTTTTTATCCCTCGAGCAGTCCTGAGACGAGCCAGATGTTATCTATCTATCTATCTACTCTTAGTATATTGTTGCATATATAACCTCTTGTAACTGACTCCCTTTGAGGATCTAATCTCCACTGGCCATCAACAATAAATTTTATCTGCGACAAACACTTGCAAAAGCTTTAAACCAGCCATAGAAAGAACGAAAGTAAGCCAACACTACAGGAAGATCCAAAGTAATGGATAGTGCGAATAATTACTGCTACTACAGGGTAACAAAGAAAGATGAGGTTTATTGTGAATGGAAACGACTCCAAAATCACTGCATTACGTAATGAAACAGAGAACAATCCGCAGGGAAAATCCCAACGGAAGGATGTAACCAAAAGGGACTAGTGACCTAGTGCATTCGAGAGCACCACTCTCCCCACAATCCACTCATCATTTTTCATGCCCACTCATACGAATAACCGTGACTTATGATCGTTTCCTCTCTAACTGCCTGCTGGCTAAAACCACAAATACCCCCGTCATGCAACTCACACACACGCCCTCATAAACTGGGCTACATTTGGGCTTTCTTTCTAACATACGTATACTTAGGCCCATGCTCAACAGATAACCTACAGATTATCTATATTTCCAAATAGGTCCCGAGTGTCTTGTGATCAAAATATGAAATTAGACATAGACATAATGCTTATCAATGCAAATCACTCCAGGGGCAGAAAATCAACAAAGAAATTGGTGATGATAAAAATAAGAGAGGAGAGTTTATTCTAGAAGAATGTTTTTTTGCTTGGTCCAATTAAAGGGAGATGTTCTCGAATCCGGACATCAAGAATCAACCTCCTAAAAAATATATTGCAACAATATCATATAGGTAGGAGATACACGCACCTCATACACACCAGAATAAAGCCACAGCATTGTTGACCAAAGTCTAGATCTCCTGGACATATTAGAGTAGTCAGTAGATATCATCATTATATTTAAGACAGGTTAACTGGTTCAAATACTAGTCTAATGTTGTTATCTTGAAATATTTTATGATATATTAGGAGCAACCACATTTGGCCAAGGAAATTATCAACAAGCAATAATCTCAACTCTTTATAAAGAAATATGACAACTTGCGCAAATGGTTATCTAACCAAAAATGGGAACCAAGCAATGGAAAGATACGTATAATCAGACGGAGGCAAGTTGGTAATTAATCAAACATAAGCACCTTAGAATAAGACATGAATCCCCTATCATAAAATATTTAGAACCTTGATGCAGTGGAGTCCATGACACTTGTTGATGGTTGAGGATCCATTTTAATTCTGTGATGCCAACCATTGAAGCTGCCAGCTACCTCCACATTATCACCATCACCAAAGAATTCAATCCGAACCTGAGAGTATTAGGACACAGTGCCATCAGCAGGTATATAAATCAAGTGTTTCATCTATAGACAATTACCCTAATTTTCATAGAGTTGCATATCAAAAGCCATCACATGAGATGTGAAGGTAACCACATGGCCAAGTTACTGAAAGATTCCCTGACTGCATCAGTAAAATAAAAGTCCACAAGAAAGGCAGATGTTATACCTCCTTTAACCCAGAAAGGCTTTCTTCAGCAACATGTAACTCTGCATCCTTTTCAGAGATAAGTTTTCTGGCTTTGTTGATTTCTTCCTCTGCCTTGGTTTGTAGGGCATACAAAGCTAGCTGAATGCAAGAACAATTTTGCATAAGGGATTGGTTAACAAGCAGAGTATAAACTTATATATGGGGAGAAAAGAAGAGAAAAAATCCACCTTTTCCTTCTCAATCTGTTCCTTCAGCTGAGACAGTTCTAACTCCTTCTGATACTATGCACGAACCAGAATTTAAAATAAAATAAGTTTCACAACCACCCTAAATAAACATTGGAAAGATTTACAAAAGCATAAAAGAAATTTAAAAATTACTACCAGCATGAATTTGAGATTATTTATCTCATTTGATTATGCCTTTAGTAGCCTGCGTCATGATAATATGCAAGAAACAAAAATTAAGATCATGAAAAAATGATCATGCAAATCTCTAAAAAGATGCATAATGAATGACCTCAGCATCAAAATCTTTGTCCACATGATTAGTTTGATCCTCGTCTTGACAATGGTCCTCCCTGTATATAGTTTTTAATAATACCAAAGAAAAAGGTTAGTTCAAACGTAAATACCACTAATGCACTGGAAAACTTCCAGAATTTCCGAACTGAATAAGTTGGTCAGCTGCGGTATCAAGGGATTAGTAATTTTGTCATGTTTTACTCTCTTGTTAGTGTTTGAGAGTTTTAAACCAGTCCTTTTTTTCATTTCATTAATTGAATAATCAAGTTCTATCAAAAACTAACCAAACCAGGTGATTTGTTGTTGCAGATGGAACAACTTGCTTGGACGTTGATGAGCATCCATAAAATGTCGTAGAAGTGTTTTTTTAGGTTCATGTTTAGAAAGCTTCGTCATCTCCACAGCAGAACCCGATCAATATCCTCTTCATTGTCCTCCTGGTCATTTCCTTAATATGCCAAAGGCATGACCTGAAAACCCAAAAAGTTACATTTATAAGCATCTCCAAGGGCAAGCATTTGATGAAGAGCCAAAGACCACCTTAACTGGGGTATTACAAATACCATGACAAAAGCACAGGCCCTTGTTGCCACAAAACTAGATGTTATTTGAATCATGGGGATGTAGCCATGTATTTCCAGCAAAAAGTTTTAGCTGAGGCAACCAAATATTTCTCAATATATTATGGCATTATGGTAACCTCAAGACTGCAAAATTAGCATATGTGACAGAAGGACAGTATAGCTCCTACTTCTTCTCCATTTTTTCCCCTCAATATGCTAAAATCAAACCATAGGATTCAATCAAAGATATAGTTTTAGGAATTCATCATGGTGATATAAAACTAATTTCGCTGTACCTTCAACTGCATCTAAATCTATCTAAATCTCCACTATGTATAATTTTGCAACCTTCTCCTCTAAAGACAAATTGGATGGAGAGTTTATTTTTATGCAACTACTACTAGCAGAGTGAACTAAAGAATCATTTTCTGTGCCTCCAGATATATCTTCCGTATCAGTGCTTGAGGGTACATTTTCAGCAACATCATTATTGCT